TGGCTGATGGGCATGTGAGGGGTGACTGAGTCAGAGCAGGGTATTGCTGACATGACGTGTCCACAGAGGAAAATGTACGCAGGGGCCGGTGACAGGGAGGCGGCAGGGGTGCGGCTGGCTTTCTTCCTGAAACCTTGTGGGTGGCTCAACGGCTTCTTTGTAATATTCACACCACTTCCCACCCAGGTTCTGATCTCATGTGGCACCTTCAGACTTTGCATCATATGTCGAATATTGAGAAATAAAAATATCTCCGTTCCATTTGAGCTTATATGAATGGTATATTGTATCACTCTGCACTTTTTCCACTATTTTATTGTACTATTTTATTTCCAGTTATTCTGTTTTTCTTCATTCATGTTCTCTCTTGTCGGTGAATGTATGCACTAATACATTAGCATTAGTTTTAATAAACTAGTACAAATGTCCAGTGCATGTAGTTGTACTTGGCCAAGAAAGTGAATTCTGATTCTGAACTTCCATGATGGACGACGCTTTTCTGTGCGCAATCACGGTGGAGATCAGCCGATGTCCCACAGTCGCCTTCGTTACGCAGGGCTCCAGGGCCCAGGTCTTATCCACGCTGAACCCCCCCCCCCCCCCCCTTCAGATCTGTTAAAGGGCCTCTTTGCTCCCCTGTGGATGTGTTTTAGGAAGCTGTTGGGGGCAACATGTTGTGGCTGTGATCGGAAGGTCGTTAAAATCCCACGATCAGCAGAGTGATTCCACTGTTAAGCCATTGAGGCAGGACCCTAAGCCCCCCCTCACTCAAGGGGCCGGCTGATCCTGCTTGTCATTGCGCTGCCATGATAAGAAAATACCTTGCATTTTAACCCGTATACCGCAAATGAAGTCGAGTTAGCATACAAAGATTAAAACACATTATATATTGTTTTCATAGCAGCGCAGATGCACATAAAATAAGTATGCATTTGCGCTTTTACAAACAATCGATGTTTCGTTCTTAACGGTGAATGCGTACTTGCGTGCCAGTTATATGCACTCCTGCATATAATAGTTTTTTGATGCAATATTTTGTGTTTTAGGGCTGAACAATATTGGGAAGAGTTCACATTGTGATATTTGACATTTTTGTGATATTTAGGAATTGAAAATGTAATATATAGCCAAATAGAACTTATTTACAAACAGTGTCAAATAAGTTGGTGGTATTGCAGTCAGTTGGGCCATCAGACACAAAGCAGCGCTGGTAAAGCATTTACTTTTGCTCAATATCGTCTCTTTGGAATACACAATATTTCCAAATAGTGGAGAACGATTGTTTTTTCGTGACCAATTCTTGTTCTCTTTTCCTCCCATTTGTCCATCTTTAGTGTCTCACAAAAACGCCAACAGCACGGACTGGAATGATGATTGTCTTGAAGTGTGAATGCAGAGCACATGAAAAAACAGCAGTTTTTTTTTAACGTGCACTAGACAATTTTGAAAACGGAACCATCGTTAAAAATGCAAAGCTTGCTGAGGTTTGTCTCCATTGATGGTAAAAATGTTTAGCGCAACTTATTGATGAGTTGAACCCAGCAGACTCTTGCGGTTCTTGCGACATGACAGTTGCGTGTGCATGAAATGCCGTGTCAGTATTAATATCACACATTGTGCAAGTCCGGCATGGTGGGTTGTGATGTCGTTACTCACCACTGCTTTCTGTGTGGAGGCTGCATGTTCACCCTATGTGAGCGTGACTTTACAGCGGATCCTCTGGTTCCTTTCTGCTTTCCAAAAACATGCAACTTAAGTGAATTGGAGTGTCTAAATTCAACATATGTGTGACTGTGTGTGCACCCTGCAGTGCCTGGTTGGTTCCTGCCTCATGCTAACTATATATTACATAATCGTTCATGTATATCAATGTATAAAGAAATACTTGCTGAATTGTCAGATTAATCGGTATATTATTCAATTTTTGATATAATCAATAGTGATAGCCCCAATATCTATCCACCCATCAATAGTAGATCATCTCAGCAAATTGTACAACCCCCCCCCCCCCTAACTAGAGGGGCAGGTGGTGGCTCTACTGTTTTATCTAATTGTCAGTCCCCTCATTCAGCCTGTTCCCATGCAACTTTTCCACATTGTCTAAAATTCTGTCCCTGTATTCTGAGTCAGGAACGGTCACTCTGCAGTGAGTCAAATATTTATTTTGCCGACAAAATGAAGCACTCCTGTGCGTGTCTAAAAGAGCATGTTTGACCTGAGTCCATACAACTGAATTTCTGTTGAAGGGCGAAGGGTCAGGCTGCAGACCTCACCTGTCAGTAAACACCTGTCAGTAAACACCTGTCAGTAAGCCTCATCTGAGGACAAGGAAGTCCAATTATGGGCTTTGTATTTCGATGTAAAAGTTTTTCCTAAGACCATGGATTGAAAGACCACTGCCTACGATGTAAAACCATTTTCTCCCCGCTAATATTATATTATGTATTTTTATACTCAATGTCTATTGCGTTGTAAAATGGTTTTAGCAGTGAAGGACTTCATTAATCACCTTCTGTGGAGATTGTTGTAAAGTATTCACGATCTATGATGCTTAGAAACATTTTTGCCAGTTAATGACCCCTTTATAATGGAGATATGCATAGGTATGTTCAGAGAGAACTGTTAATAGTATGCAGTGAGGGGTGAGGTGTAATAAATGGAAAACCTACATCATCAGACAGAAATTATTCCTTGGGGGATTTCATTTGCATCTCCAAATAAACTTGCGGATTTCCTCTTTAGTGTTTTGTTTACTTTAACACTGTATTCATAAAGGCTGCACTGACACGAGCTTTAAACATAAACCCTTGTATTTCAAATGATTAAAATGACCACAATTATCATGGATATCAGTATTATCTTGTTAAAATGTGCCAGAAATTTTCAGAAAGTACAGATACAGAAATTGCAATCATTTCACTATAATTTCATTTTATGTTGAAAATCATGAATACAGACTGTTGCTAACTTTGGTCAATGCTGGGCAGTATTTTACATGAATTATTTTTAAAGTGCAGCCATAGTTTTGATGATAATTAAAATTTGAAACGGTGATATTAACTGTGAGGAATTTTATCGTGGTTTACCGTGAACTTAGTAACCGTTTTATCCGTGGTGCAGAATCTATCACTAATTGTAAAACTGAATCCCCAATTTGTCACTTTGCCTTCAGTGTCTCTTTACATGATGTCATACTAATTAAAGCATATTTCATGATAGATTGCTTAGCGCCGAAACGAAGATGCCGATAGATGTCTCCTTATCTTCCCTGTACGTCATTCACGTCATTATCTAACCCGCAGATGAGGGGTGAATCTTGATACCAAGGAAGCAAAGATTATACTTAGGATCTTGGCAAGACCGGTCTTGTTAACTTGCCTCGCAAGTATAAGCTTAGGGCACTCGAGTTTGTTAACCCTAACCCTAACCCATGGGATTGGTCTCATTTGGCGAGGATGCAATCGATGCATCCTTGATATTTGGGGCAGGGCAAGAACGACATTTAGGAATTTTTACCATTCTCTGCACTTCTGTTCTTAGTATTGGAACTAGTCTTTGGCAATGGAAGATGATGTAGAATGGGTGTGATGAAGTACTCTTATTGAGAAACACCTGATATTTACTGACAGGTCTGCAGCCGGAGACTTTTGATCAAAGGCCTCCAGGGTCATCGGTCAGCAGTGGGAGAGATTGGGGATCTTAAAGCTGCTTTTCAGCTCATCGCGGTGGTGACGTTCACGGCCGCTGCATCCTCTGCCGTCCGCAGCCACCTGTTATCGCTCAACTGTTTGAAATGTGTCCTCGGGCTGAAGCTGAACCTCCATAGGTTTACCCATGTGCTTCCAAAGCCGTTTAGCCGCTAATCGCGAAGAGTTCGCAAGCTTTGACAGACACGCCTGTTGGGACGACGTGTTAAGGGAACAGGCTAACTGGCCAATCCAGAACATAACATATATACAGCCCTGTTTTAACATCTCAGATCTCACCTGCAATAAGCAGCTATGGGCAGATGTCTAGTGTACATGGGCAGGTTGGTGTCTTCGTTGACGTGCCTAGCCAGTGGTCATGTCATGGTGTGCTGCATTCATAGGCCCAGTGGGGGTGTCATGACTTATGAGCAGAAGAGTCAGCCAGCTGTGAGATGGACAGCATGAGCAGGCGACATCATCTCTTTGGGGAGCGGATTGATTGTGATAACTGATTGTTATAACTGATTGTGATAACTACTATATTCATATTATTGTCTGTGCACAGCCAAGTTAGCAGATCTCTCTAGCCTAGAACGTGAGATTGGATCCCCTTCGCTCGCAGGCCTCGCAGATGCTCTGTGCTCTCGCTCTGTAAGTCGCATGCATTGCCAGGCTTCCAGTGTGGGGTTCACATGCACGTTTATGTGCCATGTGGCTGTTACCGGAAGGTATCGCTGAGAGCAGCATCCTGAGGCCTGGCTTTCTAACGATAACTGGAGCCAAAAATAGTGTGAACAGCGTTTCACAGCCGGCTGTTTGACATTTGAAGACTTCCGTGGTGAGGCGCTTTTTTGTTGTTTGAACGTTGCCAGACCAGCTTCCCATAATGCATCGCTTGTCGTTCAGGAGGGGTCAGATCTAGCAGCGGCACGCGGTATCTGATGAGGGGCTGTAAGGTTGAGCTGGTCGTGGGAACTGGTAAATGGGAGGTGGCGATCTCCAGTTTCATGCTATTTATTTATTTTTTTGTGTATTTGTTGCAGTGATACAAATAGATTCGTGAGTAAAGCATGAGGTGGTTCTATATAACGTTCTATACACTTTTTTCAGCACCATCACCTGCAAGGTACTTTGAATCTTTATGGTTAAGGGTGCCCTCTGGTGGTAGCAGTGATGCATCTCATCCCCTAGGGACATAATAGTCATTCTCAACATTTTGATCAAGCTGTAGCTGGTCTGAAAGGCCCACAGTGTGGGTGTAACGTTTAACGTTCTGTCTCTGCACACACCTTCCTCTCGCCCCGCTTACAGGCAGCCCGGGTCGGTCCATCACAATGTTCAGCAGCCCCGATGTCCAGAACACCACGATGCTGTCGCTCAGCGATGACAACAATACGCTTTTGGTGGGTGCACGGGATTCCGTGCTGTCATTGGACGTCAGCCGGACGGGTGTCATGGAGATGAAGAGTAAGGTGTGTTTCCTGTGGCTGTTGTATTTTGTCTTTTGAAAGCGGTTGGTAATCATAAGGCATTCCTGAGGGCTTACTGCCCAAAGCCTGCTGAGATTAGTTCGTTAAGGATATTAGACTTACACTCTTTAAGATTTTGGCTAAAAATGAAACCCTTGAAGTCTTAAAGAGTTTTTGCTTACCCAAATTGTCGGATGGTGTTCAGGTTTAATCTGAAATTAACAGATAAGTTTAGAGACTTCAGGAATGTTTTATAAAGCAGCATGTTAGACCCAGGAACCGGTGCAGATGGTGGAGTTACAAACCCATTTAGAGCCGGTCCTACCAGATGAACTTTCAGGTGTAGCTGTATGTTGATCTCATCTGTCCTCCTGCTCTCCTATTGTGGAACTGTCCTGTGTAAGGTCCATAAGAACTTCTCTCACAGGCTTTCAGAAGGTTGATTTGAGCATGCAGTTAGATCCCAGATGGTTTCATACGTCTCCCTCCATCTTTCCTCACAGCTTGATTGGTCACCATCTTCCAAGCAACTTGACGACTGTTCTATGAAGGGCAAAAACAAGGTAAAAATTAATACGTGGGATAGCGCGACATCGAGGCTGAAGAGGCAGCTATCTCCTCGGGTCTCCATGCTTCTTTACCTGTGTTTGATTTAAGAATGAACGCAAGCCAGGTACCTTCTGGGGACCCTTGGCTAGGAAAGGTCTGCCACAGCGAAATAGTCATGCGCGGAGATACCAGTCATTGTGATTTTGCTGAGTTACTGCTTCCTTTCCAGGCAGACTGTCACAATTTCATCCGAGTCCTGAATTCCCTGAACGACACTCACGTGTACGCCTGTGGAACTCACGCCTTCAGCCCCCTCTGCACCTACATAGTACGGCCTGCTCTCCCTCTGCCCATCGCCCCCCGTGGTGTGACCTCCCACCTGCCTGATCTCCACCGGTCTCTCTGCCCACTCTCTTCCAGGACTTGGAGAAGATCCACCAAACTGCCGAGCTCAACGGCAAGTCCCACGATGGCCGGGGACGCTGTCCTTACGACCCCTATCAGAAGAACACGGCCATTGCTGTTGGTGAGGTGCACCGGCTGCACAGGGGCATCATGGGTACTGAGCAGGGTGCCGACATCGGCGCTGGTACTGCTGAGCCTTTGATGCTGTCTCCCATACCTGAGTTTCCTGAAAATGGAGTTTGGCTTTTATGTTTCTTTGGCTCTTAAATGAAACGCCTGTACAGCTGTAGACTGTTGGATGTGTGACATTTTGAAGCCTGAAAATCCAGTCGGATGTTTACATTAGGGCATCTGCTTCCTCTTAAGGAGATAACCATATAGTATAAAGGGGGAAGATTTGATGTGCTCGCCCCCTGCTGACAAGTGTTGGTACTGCCCGTTGTTGCTCTTACAGCTGGGGAGCTGTACACTGGAACGGTGGCTGACTACAGAGGAAACCGCCCAGTTATCTCCCGCTACCTGAGCCAGGGTAACCATGCCGACCTGAAGCTGGACGACACCATGGGCTGGCTGGATGGTGAGCAGTGTACTGGACCGTACTGCTGGTGTGGGGCGCTAGTAACGCTCACTGGAGTCTTGATGGGGCTTATGGCGGATTGAGAGTGTTAACTGATCTGCAGAAATTAAGGTTTCCACCTACCTTCTCTTGTCAGAACCCACCTTCGTCAGCTCGGAGTTCATCCCCAGCGAGGACAAAGTCTATGTGTTTTTTAGCGAGGTGGGCCGGGAGTATGAATTCCTTGATAAAATAGTCGTGTCCCGCGTCGCCCAGGTCTGCACGGTAAGCCCCCTCTGACATCATCAGCCAGCGCCCTGCTTTGAATTTCATTTAATTTCATTTCATTGATTCACATCACTCTCCCAGCGGTCTGCCAGCGCAGGCTGATGGCTTCTGGTAATATTTACTTTGTGGTTTCACTCAGGTGCTTATAGCCACATCCCCAACCACATCCTTCTATCTTCTGTTCCTTTAAACATTTTTAGTCGATCAAAACGATCCCAGTTGCAATGCTGAGGTTGCTTAAAAAAAAATAACAGTAAATATTCGGGCAGAGTTGTCTCAACAGGCACAGAAGGGGACAGGCTGTAGACGTCTGAAAGAGGCTATTTAAACAGCACAGCGCAGGCGACAGGCAGGGTGCTATAAATGTGACGAAATGCCGTAGCGACCACAGAAAGATGCGCTGATGTTCAGGAAAGACAGATCGTTGCAGCAGGCTAGATGTTCCCAGCTGCTATGAAGCTCGGTATTACATCATGCTGGCCTTCTGTCTCGCAGTCATTTTGGCTCATAAATTGAATGCCGCTTTCGGCGTCGTCTGTGTCATTCAGTGGTTTTGATCGAAATTTGCTGCCCTTAATGGCAAGCAGAAAAGGCAGAACTTCAGAGAGCAGAATGTCTTGTCTGCCAGACTGCACCTATTGGTGACAGCGTGAGGTTGTTGCCATGGTTACAGTGTGGCATCAGTCTAGTGCCATATTCGGGCCGTTTGAAGGTAGGAAGCCCATGTGACGCAGTGAAGAGACTGGAGCGAACAGAAACTGCTTGCTTTAAAGAGTCATTAATTAATGGAACAAATTAATGTGAAACGGTTTCAGGTTTTCACAGGTGGTGTAAGACTTTCTCAACACTGTGCATATTTGTTGGGTCAGAATCCAGAAATGCTGGTTTAGCGTTACTTCATTTCTTCATTTTGGTTTTTTTTTTTTTGGTGGGCAGTTATATGAGGGGTAGGTCACTTGAATGAGCCCCAATCCCACCCCCCCGAAGTAAACCAGTAGGGCTGTTTCTCATCTGCAGAGTGACATCGGAGGCCAGCGTACCCTGCAGAGGCGCTGGACCACCTTTGCCAAGGCACAGGTGCTCTGCAAGAACAGGAACCAGCTGCCTTACAATGTGATTTTGGACATAGTCAGTCTCCCGCCACCAGAGGGCGCCTCAGAAGATGAAATGCTCTTTTATGGCATCTTCGGCTCACAGTGGTAAGAATACGTTCTTCCCCCCTATCTGTCTTTGGGGATACATGCTTAATGCATATGTAGACTTTATTTATTGCGTTGGTGTTAAGCCTTATGTTCTCAGACATGCAGCAGAAAAGTGATTCCCACTCCATGGCTAACTTTACCCACACTTGGTTTTGCATGTGAAAACACAGGTTTACGGGACAGTCAGCGGTCTGCACGTTCCAGCTGGGGGACATAAAGACTGTGTTTGCGGGGAACTACAAGGTGTTGAACAGAGACACCCTGCGCTGGGGCTCCAAGGTCCAGGACAAAATGGCCAGTCCTGGACAGGTAATGGCCTGGGGTGTGAGGTTCCAGCGATCATGACACTCGAGTTTGTTAACCCTGAATAACCCTCCAGTTGCTCTGAGGGGTGATTCAGTAATTGATTACTCATGCCTTTCACTCAGCATGAAATAGCAGAATCCCTCTCGCCACATTGATTCATCAGACTAGCGCAGAGAATTTTAAGAACTTGAGCCTCCCCCCTTGCTCCTTCCCCAACAGTGTGGGCTTCACAATGCCAGTGATACAACCCTGAGGTTTGTGAAGGACAACTTCCTGGCAGACCAGGCCATACCCCCCGCAAGCCACGGATTGACCATGGTGTCCCCCGACCGCTACACCAACATCGCGGCCCAGAGGGTGCGGGGGGCCAGCGGCAAACACTACGACGTACTCTTCCTGCTCACTGGTATGGATCCCTCCAACCCCCCATGTCCGCAATCACCAGGATCGGCTTAGAAGATTAAAGCTTAGCCTGGAAAGGCAAACATCTGACTTTTGGTCCAGTGGGGATGAATTATAAGGGATGTTTGTGTGAGCAACTGCTAACAAAAGAAACCAGGACAGGAGTCAAGATTCTAATCAGTCCTAAATGATCAGTCATATTTGTGATCGTCCAACAGGTAAATCAAACATGAACAGGGCGTGTTGAGGTTAAGCTGCTGGTCCGTGTGTTGACTGTGCTGATCCTAGTGTGCTTTTAAAAGCTACTGTCCTTAACCACATATGCTCGCAAAAGCAGATTTAGAATTGTGTTTTAAACAGCCTTGTGTATGACTGTTGTCCGTTAGCAGTATAGAGACTGGTTTTCAATATGAAAAGTTTTAACCATTATTTTGCCATGTCTGCCCTCAGAATCTGGCTTTCTTCACAAAACAGTGCTGTTAGAAACAGGCCCTCGAATCATTGAAGAGATCCAGGTGTTTAAGAACCCACAGTCTGTGAAGAATATCCTCCTCTCAGACACAAAGGTACTGGGCTCTGCTTATTGTCCTTCCCTCCACTTACTTTTGGTGGGGGGAGTTTGCTTACGATGTAATCCCTCTTCACCTAGCTGTATCTAACAGGAAGTGCGCTGTATTTCACAATACGGATAATTCCACCAGCCATTCTCCCTTGCGTCCAGCAGATGGCAGTAAAGTGCAACTCCATTACATGCTGTCAAGTGACATGTGGTCTACCTAATCTAGTTCCCACACAATAATGCAGCCCCCTGGTGGTTTTAAATATGGAGGAAAAGCCCTCTGGGACACAGGGAGCTGGGGCACAAACAGGGAGCTGACCATGATAGGAAAGGAACTGAATTGTAGAATTGCTTTGCCTTGCTTGGTCTGCTGCATAATATGGGCAGAATTACTGACCTACACAGGTCAGGTTTTCATGGGTGCTTACAGTAGCTGCTGGTTTTCGTGTCAAGATAGAGAATGCCACATGAGGGATGTGAGAGCGCTGTTGGGTGCCCCTAGGTAATGCCCGCCCCTCGTTTCCTCCCCAGGGTGTGGTTTTTGTGGGCTTTTCAGAGGGTGTCGCACAGGTCCCCGTGTCAGACTGCTCCTTCTACTCGAGCTGCGCCGAGTGTGTCCTGGCTCGCGACCCCTTCTGCGGCTGGGACAGGTCCCAGATGGGGTGCGTCGCAGTGTCACCCGACCGAGACGACCTGTGAGTACCACTGACTGCTTAAGCCTCTCTGCACCACTAGGTGGCATACTGGCTGAATAACTGAATTCAGATATAACTATTTTTGTTAGAACTAAAGTTGGATAATTGTGCAAATATATATGTGTATATATATACATACACACACACACACACACAAACACTGAGCTCTAATCTCTCTTCCCCCCCACCCCCAATCTCTTTTCTCCCCCCCCCCAAGAGGACAAGACGTGGACGAGGGAAATGTCATGGGTGTGTGCACCGGGCCTAAATCCAGATCTGGTCTGGACAAATCCACCGCAGGTGTGGCTCACCTTACATGTAACCTTACTGTATCTCTTGGTGATTTTATTGGTTTATTGTTAAGATATCCGGGCCAGAGTCTACATTAAGTAGACCGGAGTGGTGTTAAGCGATTGGCTGCTGTTTGCCTGTATGTGGCTTCCTGTTTGGGTCTGGTAGTTAAGATGCCTGTCTCCCTCTCTCAAGCAGCGCAGCTGGTCCTCGTGTCCCTGAACAAGGCGGTGACCCTGCAGTGCCAGGGGGCTTCCCGTTTGTCCACTTTGGACTGGCACTTGCCGTCTGGCCGCTCCCACGACGACTACCTGTGGCTGCCGGGCGGCGGCCTGCAGTTCCTGGCTACACCGGACGCGGTCGGCAACTATACCTGCTACTCGGATGAGAACGGCCACCGGCAGACCGTCGTTGTGTACTCGGTGAAGCTGAAATCCAGCCTGACGCCACGCGGGTTTAACCCCGCCCTCTCGCAAGGCCTGCCCCTCACGACATCGCCGCGCAGACCACCGCTAAGACGGCCCACAGAGGCGAGGCCGACAACCAAAGGGGGGGCTCTGACGAGCGGGCCTATGGGCACCACTGCCATTCACATAGGGGCTGGATCCACAGAGAGCGGGGATGAGCAGGAGGTCCAGCAGAAAAACCGGAACCTGACCACGCTCAAGCAGCCCCAGCTGATCGAAGGAGACTCCTCCCCCAATGTGGGTCAACTGCCTTTGGCCAATGAGAAGACCTACTACCGCGAGCTGGTGACCGTGTCTGTGCTGCTGTCCCTGACGCTGTGCGCGCTAATCCTGACGGCCCTCTATGCGGTGCGGCCTCGAGCCCGTGGCCTGCAGATCTGTCCTAGTGTAGAGCCCGGCAGTGCCAGCCAGGAGCGGACCCCACTCAGCGGCGACCCGCCTCCCTCCGTCCTGTGCAAACAGAACGGGCAGCCGCAGGACAAGTCCCTGGCAGTGAGCAACGGGGCACTGCGGAGCTCCAACGGACACCTTCCCAACACCCCCTACGAGTGATGGGGCCTCACGGAGCTCAATGCAGAGAACCGGACTTGTGACCAGTGAGGTCTCTGCAGGAACTGAGCCGTCACCGAGACTGGAGGGGAGCTGGGGGAGAGTGAGCTAGCTTCAGGGAGAGACTCCTCTACAGGCTAAAACAAGCATCAGCTCTCATCATTTAGACCTGGAGGAAAGAGCCTTTTTAGCTAAATTTTCTCTTTTTCTAAAGCGAGATTGCATTTTCATTAAAAACATCTGTGGTGGTACTGAGTTTTTATTTTAAATTTTTTTCCAAGCTTTTCCTTATCTGGTACGATCTTTGTATTTTGTCAGTTTGTCAGACTAAAAAGTATTATCTTTGTGATGAACAGAACTTTTATTGCTTTAATGCTAAAGCTTGCCAAATCTTTTATGTATTTTAAGTTATTAAAATTTGCCACTTTCGGAATCTATTTTAGTATACAGCTATGGAGAAAAGAACATTTTAGGAAGTCATTTTTAAACATGCTTTATTGATACAATTTAAAAAGTCTATTTTTATACATTTGACATGATCTCTGCCAAATAAAGGTCAAAATAAATTCACAGGGAAGTGCTCCCTAGTGGTGTTCTGTTATAGGTTGTTGGTGCAAAAGTCTTTGCTTCAGGTGCCCATACTGCCCTACAAAGGCAAAACATCAAACATAGTGACTGCGTATGTTATTTTATCAAAAAAGTTTTTCCAAATGCGTTATGCTCAGTTTGGACTGGAGGGGGCCTGATTAGCGTTAAGGTGGGGCAGGAACTTAGAACAATTCCAAGGGTCCCTACGTGGCTGGGGCCTTAAAAAAAAGTTGGACTGGTCAGGTTAGGAGCCCAAACTCTGCAGCAGTTCACACATGACTTTAATACATTGGTTAGTCAGGTTTTGGACACAATAACGCCTTTGAAAATGTTTTAAAACCACCGGACATTCCCTATGGTTTAATGATCACACACACTCTTACAAACAGGAGTTCCGCAGATAACAGCCTAAATGTAAGTCTTTCAGGTTAGAGGTGTTCAGGTCAGCATACAAGCAAGCCCTCAGCCTATTACTCTAACCTTATTGATCGCAATAGGCTGAACCTTCATCACCAAGTAATATTGGTAGTGAACATTTTATGGACTTCATTATCAATACAGTTACAAACATTAGGCTTCAAAAATGTTCAAATGGCTCACAAATAACTCTGATGCAAACAGGACATGCAGACAGCCTTAATGTATTTCAATTAGTCGTCAGGAGTTAAAAACATAACTCAAACCAAACCAACCACTTGTCCATTGGACCTAATCCCCACTCAACTTCTTCAAGAGTTCCTGAGAGTCCTGGCCAGGCCAATAACCACCATAATGAATGTGTCCCTGTCTTCAGGCAATGTGCCTGACCAATTTAAAGTAGCAGTCATCAAACCACACAACTCAAGAAACCAAGTTTTGATCCACAGGAGCTCAGCAATTACAGACCGGTCTCTAATGTACCATTTTTGTCCAAAGTTCTGGAGAAGATAGTCGCTGCTCAACTTCAGTCATACTTGGAGAAACAGAACATAATGGAAAGATTCCAGTCGGGCTTCAGTCAGGGTCACAGCACTGAAACTGCCTTAATTAAACTCGTAAATAACATAACAATGGCAACTGATGCCGAGAATGCGACTGTGCTAATGCTTCTCGACCTTACTGTGGGCACGGTTGATCATTCTACTCTGTTACATAGACTTGGATTTGATGTTGGGTTTTGTGGAATGATGCTGAAGTGCTTAAATCCTGTTTGACAAATCAATATCAATATGTTCAAGTGCCAATAATTGTACTCCGTCGTCTATGTCACCAGTCAAATATGGAGTACCACAAGGATCAGTGCTTGGTCCTTTATTGTTTTCTCTCTACATGATTCCATTAGGTAACATGATGAAAAAATATGTTATCTCTCCTATGCCGATGACACCAATATATACATTTCAGTTACATCTAATGACACCACATCTATTGTCACTTTAGATAATTGCTTTAATGACATCAGGACCTGGATTAGTGCAAACTTTTTGTCACTAAATGCAGAGAAAACCAAGGTTCTGTTGTTTGGAGACAAGTAGTCGAATAGGGAAGCTATAATCTCCACGCTCTGCTCTGAGGAGCTGAACTTTTCCCTTAGCAACTCAGTCTGTAACCTAGGTGTCATCTTAGATACAAGCCTCTCATTGAAATCGCATTTGGATGCAGTGTTGATGGTATGCTTCCTAGAGCTATGTAACATTTACAACGTTTCTGTACTATTCAATAGTGTTGTATAGTACTCGAGATCGGTCTCGTTTTTGAAGGTCTTGGTCTCGTCTCAGACTCGGCCGCATTTGTACTCGGTCTCGTCATGGACTCGGACAAAGAGGACTCGGGATTTTATTTCGAGACCAGCCGAGACCACGGATTGGATAACTTCTTACTTCAAGTGCAACCAATGATGTTAGTGCCGACAGCGGTTACCCGACCCGCCCCCTACACACACGCACTGGCCAAGAATACGGGTGAGGTCGTGGATATTTGCAAGATGTCAGCAAAATCATTTGTAATAAAATTTGGATACCAATCCCACAAAGAATTCATATCAACGGGGAAAAGAAAACACACCGCAGTGTGTAAATTCTGCAGTATGACAATAACAGAGACGACAGGGACAACGTCAAACTTTTACCGCCACTTAGAAAGGAAGCACAAAGAAAGGTAAAATAGGTTTATGTTGTGCTAGTGAAGGGTTAATCATTTAAGAATGCAACTGATAATTTTATAATTATATGGCCTCTAACCCAATGAAGAAAATAGACATGGGAACCGATACTTGGATGAGGTGATCTCACCATGTAGATGGGAAAAATCAGGAACTGTCAGCAGAGAGCAGGGGAACCAGGGGAACTGACCTTGTACCAGACAGTAAGAGAACAGGAACCCATCATATAGCTGACAACTTATTTTTACTCTTTTCTGGGAACATGCACACACACTAACTTTTACTCTTTTCTGGGAACATGCACACACACTAACTTTTACTCTTTTCTGGGAACATGCACACACACTAGAGCAAAAGCCAAAATCTGTTGTGGTCACGTAGGTGTAAAGTACCGAAAAGAGGGGGGCAACACCCCAGAAGGCCTATAAACGTACAGGACTGATACCGATGTTTTGAGCTTCTTCCTGTACATGCTGAATGTATGTCAGATAGTTGCTCCCAGATTGCAATCTGTCAGAGAATAAACTGGTGACTTGCAGCTACTCCTCGACTGTGCAGTGAATCTCTTCTCATCAACGGACCCGGTGGAGTTGTGACTCCAACACTAGCTAGTGTTATTAGTCTTTCTTTGTGAAATCTCTTTACAATATATCATATCAAAATATACAGTATATATATGACTCCTTGTTTTGACGCTAGTTTCATTTGGTGTTGCCAGCTATTTCACTAGCACCTAAATTAGGCGCGCAAACTAGCTGAATTGGCTAATATGTAGTTTAGCTAATTCAATGCTAATTTGAAGGTCATTAGATTGATAGATTGAAGGTCATTAATCACCTTACAATAAGTCAGTTATAACAGTATGTGGAAAACAATATCATACCATATCCATCATCTTTGTGTAACTATTTTAAAAATATTTCATTTACGCCCTTGCTGTCTACTATGTAGTGTCGATCCACACATTTGTGTGAGAAAAAATTATAGAACATACCATATTAATATATATGTTCCTAAGCCTAGAAAGCCAATTATTTGATTAGCTACATATATAGATTATAAAATGGAATGGAAACAAATCAGAATGTGGATAAAAATAGATTTGACATTTATTCCACATTAATTTTTAGTTAAGGACATATCTATAATGTACGGAAGCGTAATGCCTTCACTTGAGAAAAAATAATTCTGCTGAATTAACGAGATACAGTTTTCATATAAAAAACGCTCCTTTTTTTGAATTGGGTCTTCGTTAGTCGACGTCACACTCGCTATAGCCGCAGTGTATTGTGGGTCGAATCGCCATTTTGGATGTATACAACGCAAGAGTGAGCATTTGCGTCCAGCATTATTTTTTGTAAGATGACACTATCTGAAAGGCTGTCACACTAATTCACATGGTAGAAATGGCAAAAAGGTGGACTACAACATGAGATTTTTTCGGTTTCCCACTTGGAAAAGAGGATATGGACAGCAGGTAGAGGAGGTAACAAAGAGGCGTCCGGTGGCCTGGGTCGCAGCAATGAGACGGAAGGAGATCACTTTCAATACGATATCTCCCTTCATGCGTGCTTGCTCTTGGTATTTTCATAAAGGCAACTAAGATGTTTTTTTTTTGTTTGAGTAATATTATTGAATATGCATTTTTTTTGTCTTCTAAAGCTGGTATTTTCACATTGGTTAACCTACGCTAGCAAGCTAGCCTCACTACGGAGGGCAGCAAAAATAGATTAATATGCTCATGTTAAAGTAGTGTTACAGAGTGAATGCTTTTTAAAGACAAGTAAACAGCAAAACTGTAATGTCACGTGTATCAGTTCATGTATATGCGCGTGCATGAATTATAAGCCGCAGTGCTGGATAAGGTTGTCACTGTGTGCTGTGCCCTGTAAAACCAATGCCCAACTATGGTTTAAGTACAGAAACATTTGCAAGTATGGTTTCTAACGTTTTACATGATGCCTGGAAGGATCTGTATAAACTCGTTGTATACCGAGCCTGTGTCCTGCTTGCCGCTTAACTTTATTGGTAATGTTTAAAATAAAATATATGTCCAATGACATTACTGTGGTGTTCTTGACTCTTTTTCCATTCTTAATCACCTAAATGGCTGGTGTGTTTTGGTAATGAAAATTTTGGTAATGAAAATCAGTAACTTATTACTGATAAAGTTCCATAAAACGTTACATTTTTGTAGAGAAAAAAAACACTGAACATATGAAACATTAAGTTAACCAAATGTGTTTACATTCGCGACACACTCAAAGTGGCGAATGGGGGCGTGTCAGACGGTGCAGACACAGATACAGTTTTCATTAAAAAAAATACATGGTCTGACTCTCTTGAGTCACCACATGACCAGCCTGAATGCATTTCAGATGCATCATCTTGTATCCGTGAAGCATGCTATACTGGTCCAACTGACTCTGGAGAAACACTGCAATGTTCTGCAGATCAGAATGGACTTTCCCTCTGAACAACCGCAAAACCTGCGCAAAGTCGACAAACTAATAACAATGCCATCTATGTTACTTAAAGCTGCCAGTATTTCCCAGTGTTTCTAACCCAGACCAAAATAAAACTGGATTAATCTAAGCTGTGATATAGTTGCAGTGAAATTGAGCTCCAAAGTAGGCGAAATTCGAGTTCTAGTGAGTTCGAGAACCGAGGTACCACTGTACAGTGTATATATATTACCGTATTTGCCGGCGTACAAGACGACTTTTTCCCCCTGAAAAACATGCCTCCAAGTGGGGGGGTCGTCTTATACGCCGGGTGCACTTCAGTTGGGATAGACATAGCTGCCCATAGTGGCCTCCCGATGCCCGCCCGGTGCCCATAGTGGCCTCCCGATGCCCGCTCACCTCATTCTACATTCCATCCAGTATCGCGCGGTATCCAGCGCGGCCGCGGTGGGTCATCAGCGTGGCCGCGGCGAGCATCAGTAGCGAGCAGCGCTCCGGCCCGCCCCTTGTCTACGCAGAGCTCTCACATGCGCACTTGCGCACTAGTGCCTGTCACAAGATGATGCAGGGGAGGGCCGGAGGCGCTGCGGTCGCGCTGCGGCCGTACAATGGTGACAATGACAGGTACTGTAATGGTACTAATACTAATGGCACTCATGTAATACCGGTATAATACCGGTAACAATAATAGCACACAGGGGTACACTTTTATACATTTTGCAACTCTCTCCTCGCCCCCCTTCTTATGCATACCTTGATAAATACTCCCTATCCAAATCTCTTATCATGTCAATCATAAGCATTTGAATATAAATTAACATGTTGAAATCAAATCTGATGTTCTTTTACGTTTTATTTGGTGTGTGGAAGGTGTGCGGAAGCGGCGGTAGTCTTATACGGCGAGTATATAACAAACTCTAGCCTATATTTTGAGTGGAAATGTTGGGGGGTCGTCTTATACGCCCAGTCGTCTTATACGTCGGCAAATACGGTACATAAAAACAGTATCTCAATTCAGAAAAACAGCGTATTTTTTTTACATGAAAACCGTATCTCGTTAATTCAGAAAAACAGAGTTTTTATTTTGCATGAAAACTTTATCTCAGAAATTCCGAGATAATTATGTCATTAATTCAGAAAAACAGAGCAGTATTATTTTTTCTCAAGTGAACGCATTACGCTTCCGTAATAGTGTAATATGTAAGATTTTCTAATACAGTTTCGGTACCTTTGCTTCTCTTTAACTTGCAACATTAATTTTAAATACTTTTTTAATATAAATAAAATTAATGTCATCAGATATCTGTTATCCTTCCTCAATTTTAGGTTCTTGGGGTACAAGGCTGGCCAAAAGAAAGATGACACACAGCCAACTATAGCTTCCTTTACGCAGAAAGGGCAGGTCTACAGCGAACATTCTCAGAGACAACAAGCCATCAGTGAAGCTATTGTCCAAGATTTAGTAATTGGGTGTTGTCTGCCTCTGTCAATTGTGGAAAATGTACATTTTAAACACTTTCTTGAGATTTTAGACAGTAAGTACACACCAATCTCCAGAAGAACAATTTCTGAGGAACAGATCCCAGCATTAGTGAGGAAGGTCAAGGAGAAAGTTTTAGAGAAGCTGGCGACACAGACATATGTCTCACTAACGACTGATATCTGGTCTGATCGCAGACTACGCTCTTTCCTTGGAGTGACTGCCCATATGTGCTGCAAATCAAAGGCTGCCTATGCACTTGAATCCTACTTGCTGGACTGCAGGCATTTTACAGGTAGACATACTGGTGAGAAAATTGCTTCTGCCTTTGAGGAGATCACAGAGGAATATGGAATCCGTCACAAGATAAACTATATCATTACAGACAATGCTTCAAATATGAAATGTGCTTTTAAAGTTCACATGCCACAACAGCAGTCTGATGACAGTGCGAGTGAGGAAGAGAGTCTAGATGATGAGAACTTGTGGGAGGACATGAATTCAGTGGAAGACAAAGAATTAACTTGGTCATCAGGTGAACGTCTTTCCTGCTTTGCTCATTCTCTACAGTTAGTTGTAAATGATGGCTTGAAGGAGGTTAAGGTCATCTCACGCGCCATTGCCAAAACATCACGGTTTACAACTCTGTTACATAGCAGTTCACAATTAAGAGACAAGTTTGAGGCTGCATTTGGCACTACTAAGACTATTCCAGCAGCAAGCAACACCCGCTGGAACAGCACTTTCAAACAAGTACAGGCACTCACAGCTCTGGATCACAGAGCCCTAAATGAAATGTGCAGCAAGGACTATGAGAATGTAGTCTTTAGTGCTCGTGAGTGGAACCAGCTAAAAGAACTGACTTCAATTCTTGCACCATTCTCAGAGGCAACAGACCTTACAGAAGCAGAGAAATCAGTTACCATAAGCATGGCGGTTCCGACTGTCCTGGACTTAAATACACACCTCCTTAAGATGGAGGGGACCCAAATGCAGTGCCGACCATTAGTCAAGGCCCTCCATCAGTCCCTGGTGAAAAGATTTTCTGGAATCTTCACAAAAACAAACATGACCAAAGATAGTGGAAAAGAGGAACCGTTTAACCACAATGTGTACTTTTTGGCTACCATTCTGGATCCACAGTTTGGATTAAGTTGGGTAGATCTGGATGTTACCAGTGGGGGAAATGCAGCATCGGTGAAGAAGTTCAGAGATGATCTGAAGAAGACACTGATAGGTATCTTTAAATTCTTTTAAAAGATCATCTGTGAACTACCAATCTTCTTTTTTAAAAAAAAAATGTTGATAACGTGTTAATAACAGGGTAAATGTTTAATTCATAGGATTTTTTATATCACCTCTTTATTTTGCCACAAATATGTTATGCTCTTGGTATAATGTACCTGCGACTGTTTTAATAATTAACTTGCAAATGTACCTATTATAGACAAACAGTTATTTTACAATAACACCTCAGCCCTAAATAACATAATAGGTCATAGAACATCATCTTATTAAAGCTTCCATGTACATAACCTATATTTCCTCCTACAGAGTTTCCGCGCGGTAGTAAAAGGTAGTAAATTCAACTGCATAAACCCTGTCCTAAAACTGTACTGGACCAAATATTCAGTAACATCAGTGTTCATTATTCTTCCAATTTGCCTTATAAAGGTCCTAAAATAATAAATAACAAAAATAAAGTAATTTTCTGGCACATTCAAGCAATCTATCCATTTCATTTTAACTCAGTTTCTGCATTTGTGTATTTTTCAGACACTTTGAGGTGGAGAACATGATGGAGAGTGAGGGAAATGCAACTAATTCAGGGTCTATTGTGAATCCCCATGGTGATTCACCACCAGTCAAATGGCCTCGTCTTCTGTCTCGCTACAAGGCCTACAAGATGTGCAGCTCAGATCATGATACAAGTATTATGACAGAGATCAACAAATACTTTGATGCCGTCCATGACTGGGATGCTGGCGATGCACTTGACTTCTGGGCCAAAAACCATGTTAGATTTCCACAGCTTCACAATTTGGCAATGAAGGTGCTGTCAGTCCCTGCCTCCTCAGCACCAGTGGAGAGGGTTTTTAGTAGAGGGGGCATTATAATGAGACTCCATCGCGCACGTTTAGGTCCAAGAATGTTACAATCCCTCATGTTTCTGAAATGCAACCACACTCTACTGTGATTTTTCATTTATGTGGTGTTTCAGGCCATGTTGTGTGGTGTTTAGCAGTTACCCCCTCATCTTTGGGGTCAGTTTGGTCTTAAAGAGTGTTCTGCCACAGTGGTTTGTTGAGGCTTAATAAATGATGTTATAATTTTAGGTAACTGCTTCCAGTGAAGCAATTTTGTAATTTTATGAATGAAACTCCTGCATTTATGTTGCTTTAAAAACAAAATTGTATGGTCTTTAGAAGTTTTTTTCACTTTCACATTCTTTGTTCTGTTTTCTGATTATTGAAATGTAAGAGAATAGTCGAGAGAAGTAATGTATAAACATTTTTAATGTTGCATAGTGTATGTTGTTTGCTTCGTTCAGCTCTTTTTGAGGGGTGCTTAGGCTTTGCATGTTCCACTTATTTGTCATGTGGTGTAAAACGTGCATTGGTCTGGTCTCGGCCAGCCCTGGTCTCAGTCTCGACTCGGTCTCAGCCCTTCAGAGTCTTGGTCTTGTCTCGGTCTCGACACCCTCTGGTCTTGGTCAGGTCTTGGTCTCGGATAAGGTGGTCTTGACTACAACACTACTATTCAAGACACTGAGAAACTAATATATGTTTTTGTATACAGTAGGGTAGACTACTGTAATGCTCTGTTATCTGGGAGCACACACTGCACATTAAACACCCTGCAGCGTATTCAACATGCAGCAGCTCAAATTGTCACCAGGAGCAGGAAGTTTGAACACATAACCCCTGCTCTTAGTTCCATGCCCTGGCTTCCTGTTAGGTTCAGGATTGATTTCAATGTTCTTGAAGGTCTAACACCTGCCTACCCAGTAGAATTACATCAAGTTTACAAGCCGCATCGACCACTCAGTTCGCAGAACACAAACTTCTGTGTCACTCCACATATGAATAAAGTGACAGTGGGCGGTAAAGCATTCTGCTACAGGGCCCCTATATTGTGGATGGTTTGTCAGTGTTGGAGTCAAACTCTGCCGGGTCCGTTGATGAGAAGAGATTCACAGCACAGTCGAGGAGTAGTTGCAAGTCACCAGTTTATTCTCTGACAGATTGCAATCAGGGAGCGACCATCTGACATACATTCAGCATGTACAGTAAAAAGCTCGAACCATAGGTGTCGGCTCTGTGTCTTTATAGGCCTTTTGGGGTGTGCCCCCCCCTTTTCTGTACTTTTCCATCTACGTGACTACAACACATTTCGACCTTTGCTCTAGTTAATCAGTGAGTACATGTTCCTCCCCCCCCCCCTTTATGTTAAGCAAAAGTTAAAATAAGCATCGGTTATGTGATGGGTTCCTGTCTTCCTGCTGTCTGGTACGAGGTCATCTTGACCTGCTCTCTTGCTGTCAGTTCCTGATTTCTCCCAACTGCATGGAGTGACATCACCCCATCCTGCCGGCCTAGTATCAGTTCCCATGTCTAGTGTCTGCATTATGTTAGACACTGTATTATTAGAAATTAGTAAATTAGTATTTGCATTATTGTATAATTAACCCCTCATCAGCCAATGTTGCTTTTAAGTCAAGGCTTAAGACTTACCTGTTTAGTCAGTCTTTTGGATATTAAAATCCCCTTTTCTAAGATGAATGGGAAATCTGGAGGTTCATGGTCATTTAAGATTAAAGGTGGAAGGGGGGATTGGTGCTGTCGTCCTGCCACTCTCGCCGATCACTTAGGCTGTTGACGGTAGTTTGGCTTAACGTCAAAACCCCCGGAGACCCTCGTGTCTGTGCTTCCTTCCAGGTCTCTCTTTTAGCCAGGCTGCCATAGTTACTTTAGTACTACCAGAGGTTGGGTGTAGGGCAATAACTCTTCTCCATCTTCTCTTTTCTGAGCTGATCCCGAGCCGACACTACTCCTCGGAGATAATTACATGGAACCAACTGGAACTTTTAAAACTATATGGACTGGAATTAATGTCAATGTCAATACAATTTCATGCTCCCCGGTCGCCCAGAGGAGGATGGGGTCCCCTTCCGAGTCTAGGTTCCTCTCAAGGTTTCTTCCTGCTAGAGGGAGTTCTTCCTTGCCACTGTTGCCTCAGGCTTTCTTGGTGGGCGTTCGGGCCGGTAATATGTAAAGTGCTTTGTGATAATGACCATTGTTAAAAGTGCTATATAAATAAAATTGACTTGAATCGAATTGTTCGGGATGCCGAGTCAGTGCGCCCATGCTCTCTGCCCTCCTTCTTTGGAGTCCTGGTTCAGTGCCATAGGAGGGTGACAAGGACGTAACTTAGGAATGTATCCATCAATGTGATACCCATCGCAGGCTGGCATGAACTGACTCATTGGTGGACTTTGGCTTTGCCTTGATCACCCTGCTTTTAGCAAACAGGCCTACTCCTATAATGTTAACATGCCGGGGGGGGGGGCAGCCATTGACACCTTGGACCCCCAGGGGTTTTTTTCCTCCCTACTTAGCAGTTTTTGGTTCCTCTCCTCTGTTGTCATCTGGCTTTCTTTCTTTCATTCATTTTTTCTTCCCTTTTCCCTGTTTTTGAATTATTCTGTATAAATGATGTAGGAATATTTGACAACACACTCATGTATAGCGCCTTAGGGTGGCTGAAAGGCACTATATGAAAATGAATTGGACTGAATTGAAATCTCAGGCAAAGGTGAGAGAATCTTTGGACTCTGGTCCATTTTCAAAAATGTATTTAGATTGTTTATGCCAATCACTGGATATTCTTAACTTTCGCTATTGCTAACCTGTTCCTGGTCAGTTTGTAATTCCTAGCCCCTGTATCAAGTAGTCAACAAATCAGTTCTGTCAGCCCATCACCATTAAACAAGTGAGCTCCTTGTATAGTGATCAAACTCAGCTGGTTTACATATACAGATCGTGATGGCATACTGCTGTTAGACCTTTAGGCAATATGGTTTGGTGATTGCTGTCTCAAATTGAAAATCTCATGCTAGCAAGATGACCAAAATTAGCAACCCTGAAAATTGACTTTTGAGTAATTTTATGTGTAATTAGTTCTCCCAACACGAAGGTGGCAATCACCCAGAAATGCATTTTAAAGGGTCCTAATACGCCACTAGTGGGATCGTTCATGCCAGTTAACGCTGTAAGTGTTTTCGAATTGACGCCATTATCCAGCTCATTTGCGTGTTTTTTTATAGCGGTCAAAATATCCCCAAAATGACGAACGGAGATAATTTCATTAGTCGATTAGATTGTTTTGCAATAACAATTAACCTAAACCAAATAATGATAAAATAGCACAGATACTAAATAAAGAAAAATCAGATCCCGTTTCTCACAATACCATGTGTATGTGGCGTGCAATGAATAACTAAAAACTTGCAATAACTGAAGGGGTGGAGACTGTGACTGGAAATGGTCGGGTATTTCTCCGTCGGGTAACTTGGCACTGTATTATTAACTCGTGTTTCCTGGAGTGGAAAAGACGGACAAACATATCGAACACTTTCTACAGAATAAGAAAAGGAAGATATCGGGTTGAAGAGGTGGTATGAACTGGCCGGTTTTAACCATTTTAAAGTTGTTTTCAATTAAGTTGCTAGGTGTCCTTGGTTTTAAAAAGCAAAAAACGACGATTCGAGAAAAGAAGTTCATTATCTAAAAAGAAACTAAGATGATATATGATTACACAGCCTTTACGGAAATTCCAACGCGAGAGAGCATTTAAAACGCGATACTAGTTTAATATGTATTTATTTATTTATTAGACGTAAAAGAAACAAGCATATCTGACTTGCAACCAAGTGCAAAGTATAGTGTCTATATATTGTGTCAGAGCACGCCCACGTTAATTACCACAGAAAATACGGAATAATCTGTCGCAGGTTATACTGAAGTAGATTTAGAGAAATCAATCGCAAAGACGACAGAGATTTGCTTTTCCGCCATGTACAGAAGACTGAAATTTTAAATAGGCCTATCGTTGTTCTGCAAATTTCGTTAGTGACCTATACAAAATTATACCGTCAATAATGTGTTGGAGTGAGAGTTAAAGACTTGCAACAACAAAGTGTTAAATGTTTCCAGAAATGTAAATAAGATAATGTTTGTGTCTCACAACGGAGTGGTAACACAGCGCTGCCAGTGACTTGTTTTTCATCGGCGCTTCCCTTTTGCCCTGATTTCTTCTTTATTTTTGTTTGGTTTCTTTATCGGATTTAGTTTCTGAAGTGCGTGTTTTCTTTCTCTTTCCCGTTTAAAAAGTCGCACCATGTCTGTTTCTGTTACCACCGCTGGAGACCATGTGATCGTGGTTCAGGTCTTTCCCAAAGGAGAGGAACCTGCGAACCTGCAGCCTATAGACTCCAGACCTGAGCATAAACCATCGGTGCAGCCGGAGTCCAAATCGCCCAAGGAGGACAACCCATACCCAGCTAGTCAACAGAAATCGCTTGGGGTGAGGATCACTAACGTGCCCTGGGGACTTAGCCAAAGTCAGTTCGTTGTTTACCCGGAAGTTAAACTTCCTGATCAATCAGATGAGCAACGATCCTCAGCCAGAGAATGTGAACACTTAATGTAAATAAATTTGGCATTTGGTCTTACCTATGGCCTGTACTACCGTGTTTCCCCGAAAATAAGGCCTAGCATGATTTTTCAGGATGCTCGTAATATAAGCTTATATTATAAGCATAATATAAGCTAGCCCTACTCCAAAAATAAACCCTAGTTATTATCCCATGGATTGTACGGTAACTAGAATGAGATGCGATTGCATATAAACAGTAAATAATATTTATTTAATATTTGAATAAATGTATATACACAGTAGATTTTGTTCATGAATAGATGTACCGTAACATATTGTTTACATGGAAAGATGCGGTTAGAAGATGACACGATGTCTGTATTTGAATAAATGTGGATTTTTGTTTATGAATACCGGTAAATGTACTGTAGTTTGTTGTAGATGTGAAAATAAGACATCCCCTGAAAATTAGCCCTAACGCGTCTTTTTGAGCAAAAATTAATATAAGACCCTGTCTTATTTTCGGGGAAACACGGTGCGAAGCGGGGTTACTGGCTTATCGGGGTAACTTGTCGGATTTAAGGTAGGCCTACCACAGTTTAAATGTACTTAATATTCGTTCTCTTACATTTTGCCCAGACTACCTTAAATCCGACAAGTTACCGCGATAAGCCAGTAACCCCGCTTCGTAGCACAAGCCACAGGTATACACCAAACTTATTTATTTGACAACAATATTTGTCATTTTCATATTTATAAATAGTATTTTCTCAGAAAACGTGAGTCTTGTTTCTTTGAAACTGCCACTTCCTGCCATATCAGCATCCGTCTCTTTCAGGTTATACAAATCATGAGCGGCCTGTTGACGGCAGCCTTGGGTATCATCCTCCTATTCGGCGAAACACCTCTCCTCTTGGCCCCCATGTGGACGGGAGCAGTGGTAAATAGATTTTCGCATGAGACTTCTCAACTATACCTAGTGAGTTTTGTCCTTAAAGGAACATCTTGCTTAATTCATCGATACAGCACCAACTTGTGGTAGACATTGTAGAAAAACAAATCTCTTCAAATCTC